TCAGTGATAATGTGCTGAACTATTACTTACTAGTTTATTACTTGAATTGACTAGTGGGGGCTTTCCAAACCTGAACCCTAGGGCCTTAGAGCCTTAGGTTCTTAATAAACTGACCTCTTAATTAGCACAAATAGATCAATTTCATTCTTTTCTGAAAAGCATGAGATTTTGGCCTCACGAGGGGCTCAGCCATTAAAGACCCGTGCTCTGAGCGCAGGTAGAGCTGAATGGTCTCCCTTCATTTGTAACAATGCTTCTGTTCTTGTGTAAAGTCTGGACATCATCAGGTTTAAGCCTTCAGCTGTAACTGGGATTCTCCAAACGGCGACTAACTTGTAAACATAGCCTGCGCGGAAGCCAGCCCAAAAGAGCAAAACAGGAGAGAAGTGTTGAATGTTTGTGAGCTTATAGTGACATCAGTAGCAGATGCTTTGTTACTCCAGGCAAGTCGATATTTAGGCAACATTGAATAGTTTGTCCGATTGAACAAGTGTATACATGCTCTCATTTCCCCTTGTTGTGCTGGTTTCAGAGCTGGTTTGGTTTTTTTTTTAGTTTCTGGGGTTCGTCAGCTGCTTTTTAGGCAAATCCAAACTGAGAGGGTATAAAATAAAGAAAATCTGGTGCATGCAGATGTACTGTAGATCTAGAAAGTAAGTCTGAGTCGTAACTGAAAAAGGGCTTCCGTCTTGATCCTATAGGTTTGGAAGTGAAATATTGTAGTCATGCCATCAGAGGAGAAGGAAATGGCACTGCCTGTCTTTGAGGCCTTGTGAGCTGAAAGGAGAGGAGCCTAAGGCACCGTATTGCAGTCTCTTTATTTGGATGTTCTATGCGAAGTTAACTAATGCTGACAGCCCTGTTTTGCAACCATGGACACTACCCCACACTACTCAAACCATGTGCAATTGCAGACTTTGGTATTTTTCCCCATGACTGTAATTACGCAGTCAAAATATGAAAGTCACTGGTGGGAAGGTAATTGCACAGGCAGCTTTATGAGAAAATGTCAGGAGACAAGTTGTAACTGATTAAAAAAAACCTACTGACATCTCCTTTAAGAACAATGGTACATGGTTATTATTTTGGAGAAAAGCCTCATTTCTAGAAGTCTTAGCAATCCTGCCTGTATTTCTTGAATAGCTCAGACTATCAACTTTTAAGCCATGGTTGTGGCAAATTTCCAATCATAATGTTCAGGTCGCCATAATTTGTTTAAGGTAATGCTTTCTTGAGCTATTGGGATTTTTACAAGATCTTTTAGAATGTATCATATAATTAATATCATAATTCTTTATGTTCTCTTCTCGTTTTTTATTTAAAAAATGTGCAACTCGTTCGTTTTGATGGGAGATTATGAGGGAATGAGTGAGCGCTGGAGTTTGTCACATTAAACAGGCAACCTTCCCTGGGTTTTGCTGGAATCAGTATGAAACAGGAAAACCAAGAAGAAGCAATCTGATCATCCAGATGTTACAAACCTTTGATGATCCCTTGGTGAAGCACCAATCATCTGGCAGAGTAATTGCAAAAGACATTGCAGTGGGGACTGCTGCTAGCAGAAAAGGAGGAGGAGGATTCCCTGGAGCTATGAGCAGTGCAACAGATCATTGCGTTGTCCAGAGAGTAAAGAAATATGGCAGTGTAAGGTCAAAAACTGGCTGATGTCTAGACTCATTACAGTCAGACACAAACTTCATGCCAGGTCTATTATGGGATGTTCACCAGTGAAAAGCAAAACACCCTCCACAAGCCAGATCAAAGCCTCTGCAGAAACAATCACTCTGCCTTTATGTCCTGAGAGAGTAGAGATGTTATTAATTGTCTGATCTGGCACTTTTGAGCAAAGCGGCTTAGATTTGTACCTGTCTTTAGAGCTGGGCATTTTACATTGATAGTTTCAGTGAAATGAAAGCGACGCATTAGAGTAAAATAGTATCACCCCATGCAGGATTTAAACCCACAGCCTTTCTTAGTATGAGTCCATTCCTCTTAACTGCTCCTCCACTCAGCAGTGAAAGACACTGAAACATGAGAAACGTGATGGTGGACACATTATGGACTGCTAACTGCTATGCTCTCCTTTTCTTTGTGAGATTCTTTCATGATTACGTCAATTGGAAGTGGTTGCAAAGAGTCAGGAAAAAGAATACTGGATAATCGATTAAGAACGTGGATACTAAGGCATAGTGATCATTATTTCAATAATGTTGTGTGACCATGGGCAACCATATAGCTTGAAGATCAGAAACGCAGGGATTACTGTACAGGATTATGGCCTGTGATTTTGATTGCTCATTATGTCAGGGATGTGCAGTGGATGCTGATGTATACAGCCCAATTCACTCTAACAACTACACCCTGTGCACCTGTAATATTGGCCATGCACCCTTCAATACACATTCACAGTACTTTTATGGCCTACGAACAGCAATGCATCAGTTGAAGAGTCATTGCATCTCAACAGTGTTAAAGTGGCACAAAGGAGACTTTGTTCAAGTGAGAATGGAGTAAAAGGTTGTGATACATTTTCTGATTAAACTCTTAGGGGCCAAGAAAAGGGACTATAACAGTCTAGGATTGCTGTGATGAGTATTTTAATACAGGCGGAGTGGTTCAGGTCGGTCTGCTTGGGATCCTCAACAGTAACCTGATCCTGTATTGAGCGACGCTTGCATTTCTCCACATTCCTGGAGGGAAACATTTGAGACAGATTGCACCTTGCTGACCTCGGAAGTACTTAGCCTGTGACCTATCCCAGGCGGAAACGCGTTCGGCTGTGGTTGTTTGACCTTTTGGTACTTTTCTTCCTGTCCCAGTGTTACAGGAAGGAAGGATGCGGTTTACTGTCCTCAGGCGCCGTAGTTCATCCCAAATAAAGAAACAGCTTTATTAATTCCAGGCCGTCTTGTGAGACATAAGAAAACATTGTGGATGTTGGCAACCACAATATCATTGCTTGCCATGGATTTAGGGACAATCTTGTTTCTTTTGCGTTAGTTGTTTCGTTACAAGTAATGCAAAGTGATGTTGAGTCATGTACAGTTTAGATGTCTTTCTGAGTTTTTTTAAATGTACAGAGAGAAGATTCTTAAAGCAGCTTCTATCTTATTTGTTTCTTTTCTTTCCAAGGTTGAATGGAGGATGAACAGGTACTGCAGTCGGTAACTAATCTGAAGCATGTGAACGTTTTTAATCATGAATCTAGGAAGATAAAAATAGATGTGTAGAAATTGCTGGAAACAAATTTATGTGCGTCTGTTGCAACATATACATAGGGCATCTCAAGCTGTGGATTTCAGATTATTTTACAATATTGCACCACATTTGTTAAAACTATTGAGTGTAATATTTTCCAGTTTTAAAAGCTGTCATTTGCCTATGGATTAAAAGCATTTGTGATGAAGATTTTGAGTGATATGATTTATTCATCATTTTATTCTTTATTAGGCCAGGTTAGTCTGAATTTGTGCCCTTTGTTTCATGCAGAACACTTTGCCAAGACAATAGGCCATTTTAAAATTATGCTAATGCAAATTGTTAGTTCATATGTCAAAGTAAAGGCTAAAAATGATTTTGTGTGACAAAGACTTAAAATTATAAAATAGCCCACTCATCCTGAGCGTTTATACAGAACAATTATTTTTACAAATTTAGCAGGGAGCACTTGTATTTAAATGCATGTAAGAGAGCAGTTTTAGAGTTAAAGGGGATGTCATTGCCTTTATACAGAGGAGTGCCATGATTGTCAATAACAAAAGAGAGACAATTGTCCGAAATGGGAAGTGTTTATCCCCTATACCAAAGGTTAACTTTTCTATGGCTAAAACCTGTCTTATCTGGTTAAAGAATGCCTATTATGTGAATAGCTCTTACCAGGATGTTCTCTTTATTTCTATATTGTCATTGAAAGAAACTGATGCAGTTATAAATGGAAAAACAGCCGAAATGTTCACTAGAACTTCATATCAACAAATAAGTGTGGGGAACTATAACAACATGTGGAGGAGCCCTGCCTTAATAAAATAAGCACCCCTGGTTCTCTAATAATCAATGGCCTGGTGTAAAAAAACACCAGGTCAGAAATAAGAGATGCTTGTGTTGGCTTTGTTTGTCCAGTGGGGCTCTGAGGCTCTGCCAGTAGGAAAGATTCATTTTGGATTCAGGTAAAAATAGTTCAGTCTGTACTGTTGACGTTGGATTACTTTTATTTTAACTACGGTTTGTGTTCCTGAAAATTTAGAAGTCTTAATTTTTGTTTCTGATTAAGGGTTATTGCTAATGTTAAAATTATGCTCCAGAGGCGACAATGTTGTTGCACACAGATCACCATATTGGTAGAAGCTGACAGCGCAATAATGGTCATTAAGAATCTTTGACCTGAAAATATGTATATGTCAAGTGAGAGCGGTGTTTTTCAGTTACAATTGGATGTATTAAGCATTTTATCTGATTAGGTATAAAGAACTCTTTTTTACAGAATACTGTTTCAACAGCTGTTAGTGTATCCTCCTTTGTGTTTATTTTGGGGGTTATCTACAGGCTTCCCAAAAACTGCCAGCATATGGTGTAAACTGCAGTATGTTGTTTGCCCTGCTGAGAGGGTCATTGGCTGTCATCTGCCCTCCGTTGATGATGTGTACAATTCCAGAACAAAGAAGCAGGCAGGAAAGATTGCTGATGACCCCTCCCTCCCAGGTTACCACCTGTTTCATAAACTTCCCTCAGGAAGATGCTACTGGTCTATTAAAACCAGGACCACCTGGTATTTGAACAGCTTCTTTCTTATGGCTGTCTTTATGCTTCGCCAGACATCCTAGTGAAACGTGCACGTCTGAATGATGTCAACTGTCTTGTTTGCATATGGTCCACGTGGAAGGTTTGTGCAGCACCAAGTACACCAGAGTAAATCCCTTGTGCATGAAGTGCACTTGGTGAATCAAAGTAATTCTGTTTCTAATCTTTCCACGGATTTGTTCATTCCTTTCCTGCTAATCCAGACCCAGCCGGTGCCCAGTCCCATCTCTTACTATGTGCACCGATCCCCCTGGTGGTTCCATCGCTTTGAAACCTTGGTCAATCACTTCATCGAGCTCATCGTCCCCTTCTTCATTTTTCTGGGACGTCGCATGTGCATCATTCATGGTGTTCTGCAGATTCTCTTCCAGGTATGTTCTGTCCGTGTGAAGCGCTTCATGCAGTTAACTTACTGTAGTCACACTGTCTGATCGCTTGTCCTTTATCCTAGCTGGTCCCGACTAGGGACCTGGGTGACCCCTGTATCTGCCATTTTGGTTGTTGATTGAAGTCCCAGCTGACTTCTTAATTGCAGGACAATTGATTTACATTTTCTATTCCAGGCATATTTTCAAGTTAAAAGTTCTTACTGCGGGAGAATTTGATACGTTATCATCCTGCCTTGTGTCTGTTCATCGGAAATCAGTCATCTGTTAAGGAGCCTTTTAGTCAGAAATCGGAGCAAACTCTTAATTAACAATTGAATGTTGAAGTTGTTAGAACAATATGTCAAACCAAGGATTGCTTGCCTTGCAGAAACTAGTATACAAAAGTCTTAACTAACAGCAGATCAGTTGAAGGCACCAATTAATTGGTGATTAACAGTTCAGCTGGTATAAAGATCCAGGGTCCAGTAAGACTGGGATTGTTAAAAACTGATTTTTATCACCAGAGAAAGCAATGGCACAGAAGCAGTAGCCTGTCTGTATGGGAATTTATGCTCAGATGCTCAGAGTAGACGGGAAAACTTGATAATACATTAATAATTCACCCACAAGTTGTGTTAAAGCTTGCTGAGAACAGAAATGTTGTCAAATTCATGTGATCGTTAAGTAACGTCATCAACAGTCGGAATTAGGGGTGATTAACGGGGTTCCTGAAACGCTGCTGGCTCCTCTTGCTTGTACTACATCCAACTCTTCACACACTTAAGTGGTTTATTTCATTCTTTCTTCGCCGTTACACTGAAAAACTCAAATGCTGCAATCCAAGCCCACAGAAAAATATTTGCATAGCTAACTGCATTGACTCAAGATGATCTTTTAAAATCTTTGTAAGCTGATGATTTAAAAAAATATGAAATACCAAAAGTCTGGTTCGGGCAGTATTTACAGTAAATTAATTGGATCAATTTGGGGTTATAAATTGGAGTAAAGCCTGGCATTCTGATCGCGCTTCAAATGCAAAGCTGTCACCCTCAAACCAAGTCACAGCTGAGGCTCCTGGAATCTATTGCCCTCCAGTTTTCTTCAAATAAACACATTTCTATTGATGCGCTTCACTGTGGCCTGTTTGTGTCTGTGTCTACACACAAATACAGATGTAGATTGCGAATCCATTCAGAACAGCAGCTACGCTATCACAGATATATGTTGTACTGCACTGGGTAAATAAACATAGTCGCGAATCAAGAGATGCTATTCTTATTTTATTTTGAATTTGTTACGGTTTTATTAATTTGCACATGAATATACTATATACTGTATGTGCATACTGTATATATAAATATGGCAGGTTTTGCTTAATCAAGAGTATTTTCTGTTGCCTTGAGGAAGTATGGAAAGGGTACATCCTTCGTACAGTATGAAAATGCTTCTCTGCACCTGTGGTTTCCAATGAAGCTGCTTATTGTGCCGTACGTCTTCAAAGATGCCATCCCTGGATATCAAACCATTCTGAGAGCTTAGGAGGTTCGTATGTAGAAGCATAGGCTATTGCAGGGGTGATAACAGCAGTCTAAGGCATGGAGCTTAGTGGAGTATGCCATCTGTGATAAAATAGCTGCAATTCTTAATTCATTTTAGCGCCTAGAAATGTTAGTTGCATAACCTGCACTGGATTAATGAGCAGGATTCAAATTTAATTATATTAATGTTACCATGGGTAGAGGACACTGCTCATTGAATTTGATTGTACTCAGTCATTCTCAGGCAGTCACGTGGTTCTGAATGCTTTTCAGACAGGCACAGATTAATTTTGCCAAGCTGTGCATTAAGAGAGCCCGCCTCGTTGAAATTAATATTTAAAAAGAGACCTTAGTATACATAGCTCTGTTAATATATTTTTCTTAATGTGAAGGTTAAAGTAATTCAATCCAGTCTACCTGGACTTTAGGAAAATAATGGTGAAAATAAACAGCACAGATTATGACACCAAGCCTTTTCCCAGTGTGACATTTGGAATATGATATCAATCTGGCATTTATTAAGGTGGTTACGATCTGGTGCTCTGTAGTTATACTACCATCTTGTGGTTCTAAGTACACATTGTACAGTTCATGTAAGCTGTTAAGTTGTGTTTCAGTCATCTATCCTGCCTGTACATTTTCATTTTTTCCCTTTCAAAGCATTATCCTGTTTACAATTGGAAATTAAAATTGCTTTTGTTTTGCTAGAATGCATGTTTTGTAGATAACTTTTGCTAGTTCAGTCCTATCACTGTGCACACATGTCATTTAAAACACTACAGGAGTTCTGCACTTTTTTAGTCGTCTTATGGTCTCTTGTGACCTGTGTATTCACTGTCTTCCTCAAGGTGGCGCTTATCCTGAGTGGGAACCTTAGCTTCCTGAACTGGCTGACCATTGTCCCCAGCATTGCCTGTTTTGATGACGCAAGCTTGGGCTTCTTCTTCAGTTCCAGAGGAGGCAGAGCTAAGGAGCTGGTGACCACGATTCAGGCACAAGACGCATCTGGGCAGAAGCCAGTCCCGACTTTAGGTATTACAGCTGAAATCCTTGCTGTGCAAAGTGCTGTTCTGGATTTTATCGGATTGGGGAAGCTCCCAATTTGTAACTTAATTGAAGGTAACGTGCAAAATGGTCCTGGGTGCCTGAAAATTGAGTTTTGCCAGTAGGCAGCTGTGGGCCCAGTGATCTGAGCAGGCTAAGCATAGCTCAGGTGAAGATTGAGCTTAGTGATTCTTGACCTCTCCTATGCCAACAGTCCATGTTGCATAGCCTGCACATTTGGACGGGGGGGGGTCTGTCCTCCGTCTGACATGAGACCCCTGAGCAGTCCTGACTCACTACACAAAAGTATTTGAAAGGAGTGAATCAAGCTTCCAGAACTGATTCTTCGAACTCTTATGAAGGTGTGTGGGAGTTATTAAAAACCTTTCACTTACATTAGTTCATTTACTAGGTGCCGTCCTATCCCTTTGTAGGTTTTATGAGTGTTTAAAAAATAACTTGGATGTAGATGGATACTCTTTGAGTGTTCCTCTGGAGGGTAATTATTACTTGTTACACAATTATTACTTGTAGGCGGTAAAGTCTTGTACTGTTGTTTTGCTTTACAAATGTAGAACATCAATCTAGAACACGCCTTTAGCCTGGGGACCTTCAGTCAGGCATAGTTTTTATTGTTTTCTTTAGCCTCATTCTGCATGACAGGATAGGATTAATAATTTCTTTACTCGTACAAGTTAACACGTATTCCAGATCAGAGTGATCTGTGAAAACTGAGGGTCTCTAGGACCCGAACTGCAATTGAAACCATTGAAAACGATTGCAAAGAACTTATGAGGGGCTAACTGTCTAGTAGTAGCTGTATCCAGAGTTCTCATAATATTCTCTCGCAATGCTGGCCACATCTCTTCATTACACCTTGTTACAAAAAGAGCCAAGAGGGATAATTAGAGCTCAAGAAATCAATATTTTCCCCCATAATTAAGCCAGCAGACACACATCTGGAAGACTTCACCCAGTCCTAGTTTTGGCAGCCAAGGAGCAAAGGAGCTTCCATTGTTACAGAGTGAGGGCTTTTAGGCTGGTGCAAATTAATCACTTGTTATTAATGCATTCAGGGCCAAAGCCCCTAAAAATTAAATGGGTGCTTAGCATTGAAAAATGTAGTAAAACAGGAGCCCAGTTTTATTTTGCATTCAGTAATTGGTCTCTGAGGACCAACTAACACTTTCAGTTTTATGTGAAGGATCTTTATATTAACTGGGCATGAAAATTGTGCAGGACTGTTTTTTACGGTACTCAAACATTGGGTCTTACCGGCAATTAAAGACAAAGAGGATTTTTTTTTTCACACAAAATATATATTTATATACATGAGTCTTAGTTTGATTGTGTAGTCTGGAACTGCAGATGGCTTTGCGCTAACAGAAATAGTTTCTCTTTGTGAAAAAGAGGAACAGAATCCTTCTATTTTGTATATGTATTGAATATGCATCACCTTTTACTTTGGTGATTGTATCATCCATAATATGGAAATGAATATGTCAGCAAATTGAGTATAATAAATAATAATAAAAGTGCTGAAATGGGCTGTAGACCCACTCTTGAAAGTTGCTGATCTATTGCCTCAAGTAGCCCATAGATGTCTACCAAGAAATGAGCAATAGCTATTTCTTAATAGATGTGAATTTTTTTGTCTTTTTAAATAAAAAAATCTTTCCACTCTTTCCCACTGTTGTTACGATCCTATTTTAAGGTGTTGTCACCAAAACGTTTTGTTTTGCCCAGGAGACATTGCCTTATCTAGTCTTAAGCGCTGATTAAAAGCATATGCATGAAGTGTGTGTTTGGTGAACCTCATCTGGAAAAGAAGGAGAACTTGGAAGTTTCCAGGATTTTGGCAACATTAGAAGAATGCTCAGTCAACAATGAGACCCCCAGTTGTCATATAGACCGTCGTCCATCTGCTAAATGACTGGTTCCATAGTCTTGTTGACTGACTTTTTCTTTGTGTTTTCCCAAGGCACCCTAGTCCGACGAGTGGTGAATATCTCTCTGGGCCTCCTGATAGCCTACCTCAGTTTACCAGTGGTGCTAAACCTGTTGAGCTCCAGACAAATTATGAACACCTCCTTCAACCCATTAAGAATAGTAAATACATACGGCGCGTTTGGAAGGTACTACTTACTCTCAAGACATTCTGTACTGACACAGTGATATATTGTGAAGGTTGATTGCCACGCTAGGGCCCTGGGTTCGATTCCAGACCTGTGATAATTGAGAGAAGGATGTTGTATTGCAATTGTTCATCAATGTAATCGATATGAAATAATATGGAAGTCTGTTCAGGTCATAGATTGACCTGATAGTGTTGCACTTGTATTTCAGACAGAGTGTGTCGGAAACACATCCATCTTACATCTTAATTTCATCTAGATGAGTCCCTGGTAGGTTTTGAAAAAGTTACAAAGCGTGATGTGCCTTGCATTGCTTCTCTCTCTCTTGCCAGCATTACGAAAGAAAGGACAGAAGTCGTCTTCCAAGGCACACATAGTCCTGACCACGCCGAGCCCACAGCTATCTGGGAAGAGTACGAGTTCAAATGCAAGCCAGGCGATCTGAGGAGGCGTCCGTGTCTAATCTCACCATACCACTATCGGCTGGATTGGCTGATGTGGTTTGCTGCCTTTCAGGCAAGTGGCCTAATATAGCTGATGACAGCCTCCTAAACTGAGGACCGCTCTTAATCCAAAGGGTTGTGGAAACAAGGTACCTAGTTCTTGAAGCCTGTCAATTTTCAAGAAAAAGCTGAATGGGATCCTGGAATCTATGAGCTACTAACTTGCTTGGAACTTGTCTTCTGTTCTTATATAGTATACGGAGGGTCTTGAATTTGGCCCCTGTTTCTCCAAAATATCTCTTCCCATAGATACCGTGCCTTGCAAAAGTATTCGTTTTCTTCCAGTCATATCCCATTTTGTTGAATAACAAATGAGGTATAACACATTTTGTTAAATTCAGTATTATTAAACAAGCCATGAATGCTCAGACTAGTGATGTCCATCAGCGCCACTGGATTTTCCTGGCCCAGATGTGAGAAATTCAAGGCTGTCATGACAAAGTGGTCTCCAGGTTTCATAAGATTCCAGGAGGTTCTTGTATATCTGCTGTGAAGAGAGATTCAATTCTGCTCTTATGTTTGGACTACATTAAAATTTTAAATTTTAGTCAGTGCTTATAAAATAAAACTTAATCGATTCAATTTTATTGTAAAAAAATAATGTAATAATTAACAGAATTACAGTTGGAAAGAAATTACAATTAAAAGGCATATTTTCCTTATGAAGACTACATCTGTTTTTTTTTTAAATATTAAAAAGCGTGGAAGCTCACACAGTAAAAATTGCAACGATGTAATATGATAATTCTTACTTAAGATAACAAGAGTGCATACTCCAGGCTCCTGGTTCTAGGTCCCTGTTCATTGTCCACATTGCAAAACATCATCATTATGAAGCCCAATTTAAAATGTTGCAGTTAGGCAAATAAACTCCTAACGAATTAAATTGATTTATGCTTTGATTACACAAGTCAGAGTATGGAAAGAAAAATGAGATTTAAAGGGGCTTGTCACGGCATAATTACTAGTTTTCCATTGTCTCATTCTTTACTATGATTCAGCTGCTAACACTAGCAGAAATACCTTTACAAAAGTAATTTCCTCTAAGAGCCCAATGAGCAAATTATTATTATAAACACTTCAAATTAAACCTGAGTATTACTCTCCAAGGCATAATTAAGAAGCAGTTACACGCTTTTTGCAGTTGTGGTCTGCCCCCTGCTGTTTTATTCAGAAATGTAAGCTAAAAATATATCCTGTTTGGGTACGATACAGGAAGATTTATAAAGTATCACTGTAAGCTAGTCAAAGCAACTTGGCCACAATATACTGTGGGGCCAGTTGCAGGTCTAGAGTTTCAAGTGAGATGCAAACACTTGATTTTGGAGGTGCTTTTGTGTTACTGAGTGGTCAAGGTATGATTCATTGGATCAAACAGTGATGTTACAAGCACCTATGCCCAATGCATGAAGCGTCAAGTGACCATGAAATTGAATATGCTTGATAGAGTGGAATAAAAACAAACTGTGGATGACGCATATCTTCCTGTCCGTGATGATCACAGATTTCTGTTCTTGAGTACCTTCTCTGGCCAGGTTTCATAAAGGTAATGCTCGGCTTACAACATAAAGGCGTGAGGAAGGTGCTGTGTTTCATATCGTCAAACTGGAAATATGGGTTTCTGGGATGCCAGATGAACATCCGTGCAGAGATTCTTGTTAAAATAAAGTTTTATTTCTATAGGAGCACCTCACAAGCTTACATATTAGCGTACAATGATCACTGAGATAATATGACACTCTGTTAGGCACTGAAATGCAGAAATTAGTAAAGTAAGCACAGGTCCTTAACAAAGCAGCACCTGACAGTGGTGACAGAGCTTCAGTAATTGCTGTGAATTCTGCCACCTTGTAGCCTGAAACTGGCTGCAGATATGATATTCGGACCATTAGTATTACGCTTGAAAATTGAATAGTATTCAGGTTTATACCTGTATAATAACCTCATTGAACATTTTATGACATTTTAGAAGAAACTATAGCAACAGTTACAGTATTAAAGGTACATTTTCATTGAAGTTGATGCAACAATAATTGTGAAAATTACAGGTTGTTCAATGTAAGGACTCAAAGTCTTTTATAAGCTGTTTTTAACCTGTAACGTGTGCTAACAAAGTGTCAGTAACCTAGTAAGAGCTAATCTTTGGTCTTGTTCATAAGTGTAATGCTGTATATTACAGTATTTATAGCTTGTTGTATGTTTTATTGAAATAAGCATCCATAAGCTAAACTTGTGCAGAACAAAGGCATAAGTTAATCTATTATTCATGTTATGGAACTACTGCACCATTCCTGTAAATTTTCAAGTGTATAATACAGACGATCACTTTTCATCCGTTTCGGAATACGAGTAAAAGGTTGACCAACAGAAGTCCTGCAGGGGGAGGTCACATCAGGCGAAGCCAGGAGTCTGACCATCTCAACACCTTTCCCCTTGCAGACATACGAGCAGAATGAATGGGTGATCCATCTGGCGGGAAGACTGCTGGCGAATGACTCCATAGCTTTATCGCTGCTTGCACACAATCCATTTGAGGGCAGAAAACCCCCAAGGTAAGCTTTGGTAGAATCCTCATGTAGAACTAAAAAGGCTGTGTCTCGGTGCTCAGCACTGGAACGAGGAACAGCTCGGTGTACTAGCAGTGTAGAAAATAGAGAAAATGAATGGCTATTTTCTTAATTAAATTTCTCCAGTCCATCGCCCCAAAACATGCACCTATATACAGTCTTCTGTATTTTAAACTGGATATGGAATACTTAAAGAAATATTAATATAAGCAGTGAAAGGAACAAAGAAGAAAAAATAAATGTGAGATCAATGTGCACCTTTTCTCTGGTGTAATGAATTATTCAGGAAAGGATTGTACGTATTGATCCTCTGTGACTAAGGCTTCCATCCAACTGGTTTTCGATTGTTTGGGCGACATTTGCACTAAGAGCTGATGACGAAAAGGCTGCAGTGTTGCCAGATCATGGAACCAGAAGGCTTAAAGCGAAGACCGCTGTAATGACAGTGTTTTTCTCGGGTGTCTTTTCATTCACGTCTTCACGTTTTTGTGTAGAACTCCGCCCTGGTATTTCAGCCGCCATTACGAATGATAGTATGTTCATTTTAACTGTGCATGACTCATAATTCATTTCTACCCCACATTGCATTGGCTGTATGAGAGGGTTTGTGAGAGGATAGAACAAGCTACTTAGCCATGTACATTAAAACACAAGAACAAGATGCACCTCTTTACCCTACGGGTTGTGGGAGCATGGAACCAGCTGTGCTGCTGAAGACCTGGCTTCCTTTAAAAAACAGCTGAATGAGGCGTTGTAATCCCAGAACACCAGCAGGCCTCGGAACTCACTCGCTTAGTTGGTAATCCATTTTCTGCTGCAGGCTCTGAATCTGATTTGTCATGTGCAATCTGTCATTCGCACTGGGTCATGCACTTGATGAACTCTACAGGAACACATGATGAGCCACAATGGTTGTAGCACACAGATTCTAAAACTGCCCAGGCTTCCTGTAGATATGATAACCACTGAAAAGCCTTAATAGTGCTCACATGCTTGAAATTTATGGTGATGGCTGAATTATTGTGGCAGGGAACTTACATTTTTGGGTGCAATGACAGCCAGATTTGCTGCTTTCATAATTGTCGGTATGTATATGCACTGGGGAGAAGCAATTCAAGACAAAATAGGGGCTTAGGCTTGTAACTAAGAGAGGCTCAGTGCTTCACTAAGATGGCCTTTGGGATATTACTTACAGTTCTTTTTATAACATCATAAAAAGGAAATAACTTAGAGAAGGTCTAGAGATTGACAACTAGACCCATTCCTGAACTGATGGCTTTGGGTGGCAGAGTAAGGGAACTAAATCTTTCTAAAGTTCAGTAAATGACAGCAGAGCTGGAGAGTTTATGAGCTCTACAAAGTACAATATTGCAAAGAATAAATAAAGCTTACTGCCGCAGTTATCTGGGCCAGTTCACACCACAAAATACGGAGATTTAATGAGAAACCGAACACAGGCAGATTTAAAGCAAAGTCAAATTTTGAAATAATTCCACTTGTCATTCCACTGACTTGCAGTAGAACGGTGCCATTTAACAAAGTCTGGGTTTTCCATGCAGGGTTAGATATATAATAGTTTTTGATCAAGAAGTAATGAGACAAATATCCCACCCTCTTTCCAGCCTGTGTGTTGTGCTCTTATATCATATAGCTTCCCAGACAGGCTGTTAATTTGGACAAAAAGGAATTCCTGTTTTTCCCTCTAAAATTTCCAGCTGTTGCCCCGGAGACAGCTGCTCTCCTCTGGAACTAATTACAGCTGTCCGGGAGATTTAAGGCTTGAACCAGTGACACGAATATAGCTACTTAGTATTGGTTCGTTCAGTTGTGGATGTCATAATATGCTGACGCACAGCAACATGGGAAAGGTGTCAGGGGTCAGCTGCTACTAGGTATTTGGCAACATGAACTTCTTTTGTCCACGGCCTCACAGTGACATTCTGGGGTGAGGAGAGGTTGTAGAAAGGGGCACATGTATAGGTGACAAATGGAAGAAGGCACTTGAACCCATCTTCTGAGGAACGGTCTCTCAGATCCATCCCTGCAGTACCTGAGAGGGAGTTGTAGTTGTACAGCTTGGTCAATCAGTAGACATTTTAATTTAAATTTTGCAAACCTGTGATTTATTTGGCCGATGCTTTTATCCAGAATGACACGATAAATGGGAAGAAAAGGGAGTTTTAATGGTGAAATTTGGGTGCTCAGTTCAGCAGTATTGTTGCACTCGGGATTTGAACCCATAACCTTCACGTTATGAGTCCAGAGTCCTAACTACTGCTCCATACTGCCGCTGAGTTTTTTTTGCCATCAGTAACAATGTTTTGATTGAGTCTATTGACACAACTCATTTGCACAAAATATTGATTTCTATTTTCAATGATGCTCTTACGAATGTGTTTCTAATTTATATTCAGATATTTCATCTGACACATGTTCGATGCTACAGAGTGTCAGCATTTTGATCAATGGTGAAAATTGTTTTCACAGAAATAACATAGAATGTTGTGTAGAATGAAGAGGGTTTCTCCTCAGTAGTGAAGTTTGTAGCTGTGCTCTTATATTTTCATCGGTTCAGGTCAGGAATATGGCAACATCTACTGCAGAGGTTGCATGTTCTTCCCATGTTTGTGTGGGTTTTCACCAGGAGCTTCAGTGTCATTGGTTGGTATTGCATTTAAAAATCTTGGTGCTAAAATGAAATATTCTGATATAAATAAAAGGGGTGTTAAAAATGCCGATCATTCAGAGCCGATTGAAGCGGCAAGAAAAGCAATCCCTTGCATGGCATTAAACTGAGCTCCTCTGTTAGTCTACAAGTCAAGGGGTTCATTCTAAAAAGAAATAATGCATTAAAACCACATTCTTATGAAGATTCATTATCATAACTTTTATGGTAGTGGTTACAACTAAAAATATTTCTCCCAACTTTCTGAGGGTTTTGGAAGATTTTGTTTTCTTACATTCACAGATAGAGCAGTTGTATCCATTTATTCTATTTTGATTGGGGAACACTCAATAATTTCAAGAGCCGTATCTCTAAAATAATAGACCTATAAACTTTGGCATTTCCACTGCTGGAAATGACATTGTTTGGTGCTTTAGTTTGGTTTTCACCACACTTTTTGTTTCATGAGAGAGGCTGTGTGCGCCACAGTTGATTTGTTGTTTGGCATTACATAGCACCTGAAGTCAGCTACAACCATGAGGAATTATCCTTAGTATTTGTCCAATTTGTCATTTTAAGGTCAGGACTAGAATATAGCTGTAGAATATATTAACATGAACAACATGTACAACACCTGTTCCAGTCACTTTCCCAGTTTTATGTAATATATACTGTAGCACTGGGTCCCTGGGTTCTGTTCCTGTTTTGCTGTCTGCGTGGAGTTTGTATGTTCTCTCGGTGTTTGTATGGGTTTCCTCCAGATGCTCTGGGTTCCTTCCAGAGTCCAAAGACATGCTGGTAGGTTAAGGGGGAACAGGTCCAGATTTCTAAGACTGGTTATTAAATCTCGGTAACAAAATAAAGTTATTGACGCTCTGTGAAATTTGACAAAATCCAAATTCAGCACAAAACTGTGAACTTTGTGAAAGTACTGTAAGTCGCCCTGTTGTTGCAAACCCCTGAGACTGAAACCACAGGCAGAGTGAGAGTTTGCCCGAATTGTGATGTGAAGCGGCCCTTCCTGCTCAATAGTCCCTCTAATGACTAATGTAATGTGATGTACGAGAAATTCAGTACTCATACAGCAGCAGACATTTCACCACAGAAATGTGTCAACATGATCTGCATGCAGAGTTAACAGAGTTAAGTTGTATTTGCCGGCAAAACAAAGTCTAGAGCAATATTTCTCTTGGATTAGACGGGATGTATTCACTAGCCTGCTTGTTAACAATGTGATAGAGCTGCTTCACCTAGCTGGAAATTTGGTTGCTCCATTCTGAATCGCAGAATATTGAGCTGCGCATACCTGGAAATTTAATCTATTTTGTGATGTAAATTGGAGGTTTTACATGTTACTGTGTTCATTTGAAAATAAATGGCGACAACATGGTGACTTACAGTACTTCCTCAAAGTTCACAATTTTGTGCTGAATTTGAAATTTGTCAATTTTCTTTCTGTGCCGCCAATGAATTTATTTCACTGCGATTTAATAACCGGTCTGAGAAATTGGGACTTCAGTTCCCCTTTAAGCTAAACTGTGACAAGACTGAGGGCCAAGGTCATAGGCTACCTTCAACCATCTATCAGTTATCAGAAAGCCACTTATTATTGTTAGTTCAGAATTACGGCAACTGCAAACCTACCCCAGAAGCTAAAGGTGTCAGGACAAGTCAGGACCACACCCTGGATGGTACGCCAGTCTATAGTTGGGTCCACGCAAGACACAAATTAGCTTAACCAGCAGGTTTTTGAGAGCTGGGGAGAACCCAGGGCAAAACATCAGCTTTGTAAAGTTGTGAAATCCTTCCTCTGCCCATCTGATGATGAAAAAATGATGGATGCCTTAATTCCATCAAATTGGACTCTAGTGTAATACCTTATTACTGAGGTGTCTTCTAAGGTGCCAAGCAAGCTTCATTATGTCCAGAACTCTTCGGCTTGTTCACATGTTAAAAATGCTCTGCACTAGAACATAGCTCCTGTGCTCTATGAATTCTGCTGGCTCCCTTTGAGATTGACAGTGGACTTATAGGTTCTTCTGCTCTCATATGAACAGTTTGCCTCCAGATAATTGAAAAGGCTCATTGTATGAGTATAGCCCAGTACCTAATCTGGGCTGATTGAGGCCTTTTTGCTCTGCCAAACAGGATGCACACACTGGGTTGTAAAACCTTCCTGTGTGTAGAGCCATGTCTGTCTGTAGAAGTCCTTGTCCAGATCTATCTGATAATCAGCATTTGTCGTTATCTTTAAAACTTGCTTATTTGACCGGATTAATAAATCATTTCCAGTGTTATTATTATACAATGTAGTTTTACTCATGGATTTAGGACAAATTCCAAATGCATGAAATTGTATTTGTCTAATAAAGTGATGTTATGTTATAAGGCAGACTTACTGTGCTCTATGTTTTTGCTCTTCTGTTACATGTAATATTGTGTAGTAATTAGATTAAACAAAAAGTACTTAGGAATAGAGTATTATTTTTTTACATCTGTTGTATTTATCCTTCATTATAAAGAACATTTTTACTTGGTCTTTAGCTCCCCCTTGTGGCTACTGCTTTCTCACCCATTTCCAGGATGTGTTGTTTAAATCACACCAGTAAATGAACCTGGTCAAAGCTACATCTAATTATATGATCATGTTGTGAATAATGTACTAATATTGTTAATATAAATGCAAAAAGTAGAATGAAAATTATAATGTGTGCTTCCATGCTTTCATCAGTTTTCCCTTTTTTGCCTCCTATCTATTATGGACCACCGACACACTCAAGCGTACTCCAAACCTGTTCACAGTCTTCATGACTGGAGTGCCGCAGAATACCTGTGATTTCTTATAGGATTATTTAGCATTTTACACAGTTAGTTCTTAGGAAACCTGCATATCTTGCTAGAGAAACATAATGGTGTTTTTGTCATTTTTAAGCTACAGTTGATTGATTGTCCTACCATTGACAGGGGAACACTGCTCTGCAGGCTTTCAACAAAAGTTCATTGTGTTTACAGCCTTACTGGCAACACATAACTAGGAAAGTATGTTCTTCTAATTCAGCTCCTTGTTTCTCTGTTCTTTTCAGGTGGATCAGAGGAGAACATTTCCGCTACAAGTTTAGTGATCCAGGAGGGATCCATGCAGCACAAGGCAAATGGTGGATCCGGAAGAGAATTGGCCCGTATTTCCCTCCTGTCAGTCTAGCCGGGCTTAGGAAGTACTTTGAGGCTCGACACTGGCCCCACCCTGACATTCCCTGAATAAAACAATCGCTGAACAAGACTCATCTGTGCGTAAGGCGTCTTTGGACGGTTGTCTTCACACAAGAAATTCACAAGTTCATCAGTTCAGTGTCATTCTTTTTGGTGCAGTAAACTGAATGATCAGTCAGAAGAAAAATGATCAAATGTGATATCACTGCGTGCTTTATAGTTTTGAACAGTTTTCATTTTCTAAAGTGTATGTTCAGTTCTTTGTTCCTGATGTTGGTCAGCATCAAGGCCTGGCTGTTAGTGAGGCTTCCTCTGGGGTCCTGGTGTCAGTCTTAGTCTGGAGCACCTGCTATGTGGAGTTTGCATGTTTTAAGGTTTCCTTTAACGCAATGTTCAGGCTGATATAGGCAGAAATTCCCTGTATCCACACCCTGCAGTGGGCTCTCTCTCATCCTCAAAGGACAGAGCAAAAATTGAAGATGAAGAGATGTTCCTCAATTTTGCAAGTTTAAACTTCAATATACCGTCACACTGTATATGATTTTGTCCCTTTTGTTGGATACTGAATAGAACATTCTTTAATTAAATCACTCGCAGGAATGTGAAGGCTACATCATTGCACCATAAAACAATGTGTGAACTCCTTAGCATCTTTATCCTAAACCACTTTATTAATCATTTGAAATCTGATGAAACAAAAAAAAGGAATTTAAAGAAGAAGAAATTAACCAGCTCATCCTTCTCTCTTGGATTCTAGTAACTTTCTGATAACCTTGCTAAACCGTTTCTTCTAAGAGCTCATTGAAGGAGCTTCAATAACACTGCTCTGTAGTTTGCTCTGTACACCCACAGCTCTTTGTGAATAAGTGCTTGCCATTCTTAGGTCAGGAATGAATGTGCTCTTTTGTTTTAAGGTTTTCTATGGTTCTGCTTGCTGTGTTGAGACTGTTGTGATGTCTGTGGATTTGGGTAACGTGGCCTCCCAGAGCAGTCTTTGCTCTTAACCTGAAAGAGGTCTGTACTCTGTGAAGGAAAAACATCAGTCTTGTCTGGGTCTTTCTCCTCTGGTTTAGAGATTGCTGGCCTTGATGAGGGTTATCCTCACTGGCTAGAAATTGGTGAGGTAGGGTAGGATTAGCAATGACCTGTAGCTTGGCAGTGGCCAGTACTCTTGCAGTGTTTTCCATGCAACAGTCCACCACACAATGCTTAACTCTACTGCTTGTACTTTTGGCTGGCAGCCTGAGATGACAATTGCTGAGCTTATTAAGGCTTGTCAGTATCTTTAATTGGATAGTCTGTGTGTGTATTTAAAACATTTGCCACTTCAAGGGCTGTACTGTATGCCTGCTGTGTATAACTATGAAGTGGAGTTTGAAAGTTCAAGAGAAAAACACAGGCTGTAGAAATACAAATAATGCCACAGTTAAGAATATATTAAGAATAACATTAGCCAAAGTGGTTAAACAGATATTTTAATAGAAATCTCATAATTGATAATAACTATATTTAATAATGATGATTTACTATTTACTATATTAATTGCCCATACTTATATAGCACTTTTTTGGACACTCCACTCAAAGTGCTTTACAGGTAATGGTGATTCCCCTCCACCACCACCAGTGTGCAGCCCCACCTGCATGATGCAACGGCAGCCATAGTGCACCAGTACACTCCCCACACACCAGCTATTAGTGGGGAGGAGAGCAGAGTGATGAAGCCAGTTCAGAGATGGGGATTATTAGGAGGCTGTGATTGGTAAAGGGAAATTTGGCCAGGATGCCAAGGTAACACCCCTACTCTTTTTGAGAAACGTCCTGGGATTTGTGATGATCACAGAGAGTCAGCACCTCAGTTTTATGTCTCATCCAAAGGATGGCACCTTTTTACAGTAAAGTGTCCCCGTCACTATACTGGGGCATTAGGACCCACACAAACAGCAGGGTGAGCACTCCCTGCTGGCCCCACTAACACCTCTTCCAGCTGCAACCTTAGCTTCACCAGGAGGTCTCCCATCCAGGTACTGGCCAGGCTCACACCTGCTGAGCTTCAGTGGGGTGCTAGTTGCGAGTTGCAGGGTGATATTATAAGAAAGTCAAAATGCTATTGGATGCCAGGGAATCATAACCAGAAAAAGAAAAAAACATTACAAGTTCTAGGGAGATCCATTTTCAATAATTAATGATGTTAACTAAGAGCTTAATTTAGAACAAAGCCTCTGGCTCAGAATCATTTCTGTCACAAAGGAAAGGGATTCAGGAGCGTTTTTAGGATTTTTTTAGAAAACAGTGTGACTGTAGTTCATCTCTAGTAGAGTACTAGGAAAGTTTTTTCACATCCTACAGAACACTCACTGCTTTTTTCCATTGTTTTATCTCTGAACCTTAATCTTCGGATCCTGCTTCTTGGGCAGAGATATTTAATCCTGATAAAATGGGCTAACTAACTGTGACAGTGTTGCATAACCACAGCAGGGAGAAATATTTAATTCAGAATGCTAGTTGCCAATTACAGAAAACTTAATCTTAGTCCTCTTTAGATGGTTGTGCTGACCAGGATGATAGATTCATTAAAATGTACTTGAGTGACTTTTTGAACGATTTGTTGAAATGGAAAAACAAACTTTCCAACCTGCAAACATTTGAGGGTTAAGTCGAGACTGGATGAAGTTTGCAAAGCTTGTAATTTTAAACTCAACATCACATTATATATAATATAAAGATATTTTAAACAGCTTTTATCAGTAAAAACCAAACTGCACTTAAGATTTAAAGGTGGCAACCCCCACCTTTAAATTGAACACTGCCTCAGAAAACAGCTTTATAAACTACTTAACCTCGATTAAATTATTGAGGTAGTAAACTGTTGAACAAGACTATTTCATTTTCCATGAAAGCTCATTATTTGAGGTTTAGAAAAGGTTAAAATACTAAGAAAATTGAAAACTCATCACACTCAAGGGCGAACATCCCTGTGTGCATTTTCTAGTGCTTTTGAAAAAAAAAATGGGCTGATGGAATGCATTAGTTACATAATGCATTTCATGTCAGGCCATTAAAGCAGTTTAATAAAACAAAAAAAATTGTCCACTCTGAACCAGTCTGACTCATATGTTCTGTTTTGTAAGATTGATCATTATAGAGTCCTCTTAATAGATGTTTTCCACAATACAACGAAGTCCAATTTAAAACATGAAAACGAATGAGAATCTTTGAGAAAGAAAAGTGAGCGTTTAAGTGCTCTGTGGGCAGTTCCCAGGGGGGGGGTCTATGGTAGTACTGGGAATGGTTGACTTGGGCTGTTGGTGAGGAACTGGATCCCTTGTATGTGTGTGTGGGTGGGGGGGCTGACCCCACCCCGGCGTTAAAGATGGCAATACCGAGAATGACCACCTGCCATGAAGCCACACAAGGAAACCAGGTACCCGCCTCTCTCCCAGTTACCAGTTCAATCGCGGAAAAGCCAAAGGAAATCTGGGAACGGCTGTGGGATATCGCTCCCGAGACCCGAAGAACCCAAGATCCAGTGGGAGCGGAGTCCTGGGGAGTTTAGACCTCCCTAGCAGCTCCAGCACCAATCCCCCATTTCCCCACAGATGGGCTGTGAAGGGAAAAACGGGAAGGACCGGTCAAGATCCAGGATTCCGGAATAGGGGATGAAGCCTGTGTTCCAAAGATGGCAGGAAAATTACAGCAATGGAAAACCCACAATGTCTCTGCCGGATCTAAAGCCGCGTGAACCCCCCCCACTACCAAACGGACCACATGGGCTAAATAACCTTTCACCTTTGGGGAGCTACACTGTTTCCTTGGGTCTGAGAGAGCTGTAGCTTTGGAAAGCTTGACATATCTCCCCGTGGTTGAAGGGGTGAACCCCAGCAGTGGCACACTGGCACCCAGCAGTCTGCGTAACAACCATCAGACCAGACTCCCGTCTGGGATACAGGAGCATCACACAGCGCCAGGGCTCAGAGCTGCGGGGGAAAGCTGGCTTTGGCTGAGCTGGTGTAGGGGACATTGTGAGCCGGTAGAGAATAGGACAGCAATCTTGGTTTAGGGTTCACTGTCGATGAACAATAGGACGGGACTTGTAATTGATCCTAGTCCAGTGAGAAGGGTGTTGGGACTTTATCCAAGAAGAATGTAAAATAGGTGCTTTTACCTCCTTGTGGGAGTGGTATCCCAGCCATCAGTTGTCCGGTGTGGTTCTGTGTCTCTACCGTCTCCGAACTGGTTTGCACAGGTGGTAGCCAACAGCCAAATGGCATCGCTGGCCACACGCAGACAGAAACAATTTAGAGGAAGCTGTTAAACTAGCCAGCACGTCTGGAAAGAGGGACGAAAACCAGAGCATCTGGCAAAACACCATACAAACACGAGAACAACATGCAGGCTCCACACCGAAGGATTTATGACCGGCGGGCTGTGAAGCAGCAATGCTAACTGCGACTCGGCACTGTAGAATGGCAGAAAGAGGGTATCTTGATCATGTTGTATTTGCTACTCTTACCTTTGTTGGTAACGCGTATTATGATTTTTGCTTTTGCCCAGTCACGCATCTTCTTAATTAGCAAAGACACGAATGCTGCTCGGAGCATTTCATCAGTGTAAACTCTGGGTGGCAAAAGAAAATAAACCAGTTGTGTAATTCTAGTTAATGTACACGTTTATGTGGTCCCATTTCGATGCGACAAGCGAGGTCCGTCCTGTCTCATCGACGGTCCGCGTGATCTTCCAGTGATTTTAGCAGGTACTGTACCTCGGCCGCGTGCTTAGCGAGTTTGCAGGTTGGCTATCTCAGGACTGCTGCTGCCGGCGTACAGAGCTAAGTGGTAGCTGGAGTTTTAAGAAAAGAACTTTGAGGAAAGCTCCATATACTTTATATGCCGAATGTCTGAAGCGCAAAAAAAAAACGAAAGCCCAAATAAAAAAAAATATATTTCTGCGCCTTTAATTTCCAGCGTTACAAGTGGACTCTTCGCAGTTCTCCAGCTAGCAGTCTCATGCTGCAAGGTGTAGCTTTTGTTTTGCATTGAAGCTATCGCCTGCCGCCGTCCCCTTATTAGTAATGTTATTTCAGTATTGGCTGCCCTGCGCCCAACCTGCGCGGCGATTGGAAGACATTTTTTGCTCCAAGAGCCAAGCAAGCTGTCAATAGCACGCCAACCCAACCTACTCATTATCAACTGGGAGAGAAGAGAGAGAACCGATAGGGACGGTGTTGTGAGGCGTAAAGAAAGTGGAGGGCTCTCGGAAAACAAAATGAATAAACCCCTGATAGTCATGATACTGACATACAGGTGAAAATCAAATGCAAAACTCATCCGTCTGAGTCGGACATTTAAAACTAAGAAGTACCTGCCAAGGAGAAAAGGCTGATTCCGTACTTAGTTGCATTGTTGTTACATTTTTTCCTGCCGAAGGTACCGTACGGTCTGGGAGGAGGAGGTGGGGTGGGGGGGGGTTTACTGGTACAAAAACTGCAAGCATTAATCTTGTGTGCCTGGCTGAAAAAAACATGTCCAGGAAAAGGGCCGTAAAAAGCAAGACTAGCACCGCCGCCCCAACAGCCGCCCTGCATAGCAAAGAGAACGGGAACGCTGGAAAGGGTACCGCTGGATCGGACGCTCCCCTAAACGGCGTGGTGTATCCGAGCAGACCTTCTTTGAGCAACAGCAGCGAGTTTTATGATATTGCCTTTAAGGTGAGCCCTTTATATTGTATGTTACACCGCACGGATACTGCTGTTTGTAAACAAAGCGTTGTTGCGCTCTTAGCAAACAGTAACAAGTGTTGCGCTTTCCGGCAAGTAAAGTTACTAGACAGTTTTTTCCCCCCTATTGATGATATAGGGCACAACGGATAAAGACTTCCGTTTAAACACTGTTCTGATGTACTGTACGTCAGATAAACGATTGCGGGTGCAACCAACTGGACACGTTGTTTGTAATGCACGAATAAAATGTGCTCTGCACGTTTTAAGCGTAATGCACTTGCATTTGAAAAGTCTTCTGATTCACGTGAATTTGATTCGGTTGTTTTTATTAAAGCGGTCTCATGATTAATAATATTTCGGTGTAGTGATAATAGTAGAAAACTCGGTATTCCGCTTGAACTCTTCGCGTGATTCTTTTTAATTATAAATGCCCTTAAATTATTCATTTGCTCTCTGATATTATGGATATACTGCATTCAAGCGGGTAGAATTAAGTTTATATAAATAGCAGCAGACACGTACAAAGGTGCGAGTCTGTATCGAAACACCGTATCACTACAGCCGGATCTGGCACCGCTGTGCAAATAATCTGATGGTCTCAAGCAGCAAGCACATGTAGCGCAGAAACAATGGCAGTATGAATCAAGTGAAAAGAGATTACCGGCACGGTGTGGAAACGAGTGAACTAAAAATACTAGTGCATTTGTCGAATAAAGTTGAGAAATGTGTATGAGAAATACCTGCGTACTGTCGGTGCAGCTCATGACGAAGTGGTATGTGAAGCAATTCCCACGTCTGAAGGTTCAACATGAGTTTCGTCCTGTTCTTCCACAGTATGATTTATTTAGACCCATTTCACTTGTCTTTGTCCGTTTATACACTATTTCCTGCACATAACGATGTCAAGCGCTTCCTGCCCCGTTTAACCCCAGGAGAACGTCGTAGGATGTCGATAAGAGGTTTCAACGCAACGTGCTTGTTTGATTCACCAATCTAAACAGCCTCTAAATGGTTATGTAAAAGGAGATGTGGCCAGATGTTTACGTTGTGATGAAAGAATCTTTAATCTAATGGTATCTAATAATGATTCCATTTACAATAATGCGATTTATCCTGAATGATGATAAAAGACAGTTTTGTCTTCTATGCCCTTCTGGTCTTCTATAACATATTTACAGTTATAATGGTCGTTTTGAATTTAAGCTATCAAGCTATTCGTTATGGGGGGTTTAGTTATTGATAAACTTGATAAGCTTTCTTGAACTAGAAACACTAGGAACTGGTTTTGATCGTTCGGTTGCTTAATCAAGAAACAAAACCCTTGATTAAGCTATCACACATTTGTAATGCCCTCAACCTTTACTGAACAGAAGTTCAGCAACAGAAGAGCAGTAATATTTAGCAACATGACAGACGGCAACATTTTACCATGGCTTGTGTTTGACCCGGTCAAAACTTTTGTACAGTTCGTTTGTTTTGAAGACCTGGAAGCCATCGTCAGTGTCAACCAGGAGGACGTCTTCAAAATGAACAGGTAAACGTGACTCGGACAAGTGCCAACTACTTGGAACTGCATCTTAAACCAGCAATAGGAGGCACTTCTTCACCCAGCACTGTGGGATTGCAGAACACCGTCTTTTAGGTACGTCAGTTTCATACAAGAAACGGTTAGATGAGATTCTTGGATCAGAATAACTACTAACTAGCAGCCAGACAAGTTGCTCTGAATGGCCTCCTGTCGTTTGTAACCTTTCTTATGTAACACTGTATGTAAACGCCAGCTTTATCTGCAAAGTGCCAGTAGCTAGACCGAAAGCTGTGGTTTCTCTACAGGGGTGTTGGCATAGCACTACAGCGCGACCTGCCCTTTGCGGTCTGTGGCTGCCAGTGCACGTGTCGAGGACTGGTCAGCGCTGGTTCCATGCTGGAGACATGGTGTTCGAAGCTTTTTTTTCCCAAGATGCCTGCAGGCGTTCTGCACTGCTTTCCGTGGTTTGCCAGGGTTTAATGTTGTCGGCCCTCTTGCCAGTGTGAATTGTCTGCTCTGTTGGCTTTGGTTAAAAAAGACGCCCTGAACAGTTGGCTTTTTGGCTTGTTTTGGAATTAGAAACCTGTGAGGAGCTGGCAGCAGATTACTTGGGGCCTAGGAAATTTCCTGCTGCCTTCTAACATGGTATCATTGCCCAACCTCTTCTTGTTTTCTCTTTGATGGAGTGAAAAGGCTCCTTCATTCCCCTTTTGTGGTATATGAGCCCTAATCTGTCATGTTCCTGTTTGCAAGCATTTATGAAAATGTTTATTTTTCGGGGAGATCTGTTTGCTTTAGCCTTTAAAAGTGCTTGGTCGCTATAACCTTTCATCTGTGTTTAAACAAAAAAATCCCCTAGAAACTGCCACTTTTAGAACGCTGTTACCCCTTTGTGTGATTCCAAAACACAAACTGACTTGGATGTTGAAGTTGTGCAATGATGTTGTTTTCCTAGGGCAGAGAAAGAATGCAGATACCTTGGCAAGGGAACGGTTTAGATCTTTGTAAATCTGAGATTTATGAGGTTCACTTTTTGGGGTGCTATCTGTGTGGAGTTTGTCTTTCCATGTTTGCTTGAGTTTCCTCTGGGTGCAACTGTTGCCTCCCACTGTCCGAAGATGTACTGGTAGGTTAATTGGCTCCTGGGAAAACTGGCCCTGGTGTGAGTGTGTGTCTGTGTGTACCCGGCGGTGAACTGGTGTCCTGTCCAGGGTGTGTCTGGCCTTGCGCCTGTTGCTTGTCAATTTGCTCCACTTCCCCCGTGACCTTGAATTGGATGAAGTGGTGAGAGAATGTACTGGTGGACCCCTTGACAAAGATCCCGGTCGATTCAGGAATTGGGAATCATGTCAGTGGCCTGTCGTGACTGGGTTTCTCCAGGTGGTGGCGCACAACTGGAGGAGCATCACTGAGGTGGAGGGGGCAGGGGCTCAGCGTCTTTCAGCAGCATCCAGCTGGCTGCTTGTCCTCCACCCAGGCCACCCTCTGGGAGAGTGAGGATCAACAAGTCGGTTTAAAAACTGGGGAGGATAGGAAAAAAAGATTGAGTCCTGCTTAAAGTCTTGAATTTGAGTGCAGCACTGTGGTGCCCTTAGTTTTTTAAGATGCTGCTTGCCAAATGAACATAAAAGGGCTGAGTGGCCTCCTTTAGCTTTTTTTGTTTACTGGAAGAGGAAGACAGATCAACAGTTTTCTTGTGACTTATAAGCTGCAGGCGTGCTCTGAGGGAATTCCTGCAGTGATGTCCCCCACCTCTAAAATCTAGCCAGTGTACAACGCTGTGGCGGCAGTAGACTGGTCGTTGGGAGCAGCAGAGTCACCCTTGGTCTAGGGAGTGGTGCAATGCATGCTGGGAGCCCGCGAGAGATCGGGATCGAATCCCAACAAGCAGAGCTGCTCTCGCCACTCAGGCTCCTACTTCAGCTGATTCTTGGAAGTTGGAAGTTTGACAATATACTGAGGTCAATTTGCTTGGTAGGACAGATGATGGTAAAATAAGAAGTAAAGTTATCGCTCTTCCGTTTTGTCAGGAGAATTTGGACAAGAGCTGCCTCTAGCAAACGGATCAAAATGTCACTCCTTGGGAACTGGATTTGTTTTCCTGGGACGGTTTGAAAGAATTGGATCTCCTAAACGTGGCGTAAAGACGTCCTATGAGGAAACCTGCCATCTGTCTCCGTCTTGAAAAGGATTGACTAGGGTAGCCGACACAATCACTTCGAAAGAAGATGAGGTGGCAGATCTTGTCCATTGTGGGTGTACAGATCAAACTGCCAGATCTTTTGTGTGTGCTGTTTCTCAAGCATCACTCAAAAGCTCCTTGATGTCAGTTTTGCAACACTAAGCTTTTTGCTGTGAGGCAAGCAAGTCAGGTAGAATGGCCTACTTTAGATTCTGTTTACCTTTTACTCTTACAATTTGTCACTCGTAATGCTATTTATAAAACATACTGCAAGAACTGAGAATATCCAGGTCTTACTTAATTCATTACACATACGTCATAGATTTCAACAAATATTAACACTTAATATGCCTGTACCCGACTTTGACTTTTGCCATGGAGTATATTAAATCTCCTTTTTTTTACCTGTAACAACTTTAAAATATCCTGGTAGTTTAAGAGACAAATCTTCGATTATTTCAACGTACTTCAATTTTGAATTCACATTTAACTTGGTATCTTCTATTGAGAAATGCAGTTATGAAATCAGTCTCAGTTAACTGACTTGTAAAAAAGTAAATACCATACATCCTTGTGTGGTAAAGTCTGTTACAGGAATGAACTGATTTATTTAAGCAGTGCGGTGTGGTGAAATACAATATTTTCGCAATTAAGCAGATGTTGTCCGCCAGTACTCCTGTTTTATTGCAGCGTTTGGAATTCCAGCTAGTTGAAATCTTCCTTGTTAATCTGTGTCAAATTTAACTTTCATTCAGTCTACCAACACACCTTCCCCGTAAAGAAATAACCTGAAGTTGAACTGTTTCAGATCTCAGCTGTGGTTTAGAGGCACAACATACCACTGATTGTCAAGACACTTCGGTCCATTATCAGCTAAAATGAATCTCAAGTGATTTCTGCTAAGTGCCAGCTATTCCGAGACTCTCCTGTATAGCTGAGCTTCTTGCCCTGCTTGTACCCATAATCTGGTCCTTCCTTGGTCGTTACCCAGAATTCCAGGATTACCCAGAACCCTCGGGTGAGGACGAGGGGCAAGAACGACTTGCGAACCAAGAGCTTGTGCTGAAAGTCGAGCTCTTGCTTCACCTCCCCTGGGCATCTCTACAGCACCACCACTCAGGTCTGCCCGTCATTGTCGCAACACCCCGTGGTGCTTGAGCCCCCTCCTCAAGGGGCGCCCCCTCCGCTTTTACCTGGAGAGATCGAGCCGATTGTTTTTAAGGAGAGGCCCATGACCCCAGATTTGGAGGCACTGTCTCTGGTCCTGGCTGCTGAGGCAAAATATTTGAGCACGACAAAGAATGACGACAAAGTCCCTAAACATGGTGAAGCATTCTCGGGTTGTTCAGTGATTCCGATTTTAAAGATCCAGGAAGAACATCTTATCCGGGTCCCTCAGGATCAGACTGGTACTGAATCAGAATTTGCCCAACCATTGGAAGTCTGTGTCATCGCAAGTGAGACTTACTACTCTCTTGACAAGACGAATGAGTGGAACCCAGGATTGATCTTTTGGTTAAAAAAACAACATGATGTGTTTTTTTTTTTAACTTCTTCAAATCATGCACTGTCCCCAAACAGCAGGGATACCAGCTCCAAGCCCGCAGACCAGATGCTCTCTATGTGACTAAATTCAACCGGGACTCAATTAAAGAAACTATCACTTGTGATGTGCTTTTCCTTTGTCTGCCCAGCAAGCAGGAGGAAACCGATCACGTCTAGAGCAAAGTCCTGAAAGTGCAAATGTCCTTGTTTTTCCAAGTTTGTTATAGCAGAATATGAGAATTCTGTTGTGTTTGTAAAATTGAATGACATGGGAATTACCCTGCCGGTTAATTCCAAAGGCTGTTTCATTTCTAAAGTGTGTTTGAATATCTCACAAGCTATTCCTCTGTATACAAAGGCATGCATTGCAAATACTGTATGCATTTGCAAACTGTCCCTCCTCAGGTAAAAATGGATTCATATCTCTGTGGTCTGCCGGGTCATTTCAGTACACATGAGAGTGAGCAGTGTGCCATGCATGTTCAGTCAGCCAGTAAAGTTCTGGTTCTACTTGTCTCTAGGTGATGTTAGTTGGGGACTCTGGTGTTGGAAAGACGTGCTTGCTGGTCCGTTTTAAAGATGGCGCCTTTCTGGCGGGGAGCTTCATTTCGACTGTGGGCATCGACTTCAGGGTAAGTGACACAACCATCACAACATTTGTATCATTGCCAGGAGGCCCGATTTCGGATTCTCCTCCCTCCAGCGCTTCTTCCTGGGGGGGGAGGGAGCTCAGGAGGTGAGCCTGGAGTGGCAGCGCCTGATGAATTTGCCTTTAAATCGAATGCCTCTCTACAAGGGATCACAGGAAGGAACAGGGCAGAACCCCACAAACTTTTGGTGATGTAAATGCCGCAGCTGACAAACTGGCTACCAAGTGACAAGACACACTAGTATTCCACTTAATAAGAGTAGAAGAATGGAGGGTAAACCACACTAGGGACACATTCTACACATCCTATGGATAGACAACAATATGCTTTCAGTACTTTCTTCTCCACTGCAACCTATTTCAGCAAAGGTTTGAACTGGCCGTGTTCCAGAGAACACACTGAAACACACACAAACTTTGCCTTCTTGTTATGCTCTGCATTGAGCCATTTTGAAGGGGCCTTATAGTCTGAGTATAGAAATGGTCTCACTCTGATATTATTGTGAAAATGTCCAGATGTGATAATTTTATGCGCCTATACAAAGATTTCAACTTCTGGCACAACAGCGGTTTCTGACAGTGGTTACTCCGACTTTTATTCTTCCGTTTATCCAACTGTTTCATCCAGTTCAGGGATGCAGGGGAGTCAGAGCCTATCTTGGCAAGCATTGGAATCAAGGCAGGATACACCCTGGGTGAGATGCCAGTCCATTCCAGGACACACACATACATAGGCGCGCGCAAACACTCACGCCAAGGCCAGGTTTCCCAAAGGCCAGTTACCAGGAACCAGCCAAGGACCCTGGTGCTGCTTGGGAGCAATGACTCCCCTCTCTGCCTTCCAATTATTCCGAAATGTCAAAACAAATGCCTTAAAAGAGCACGTTTAGAACTAACCCGGATCAAATTCAACCTCTCCCTTTTGTAGTACAGTACTTTAGCTTCCAACATTTTAGGAACAAGCTGCTTTCCACTTTTTGTTTTTGGATATGTCCCATTGTGGTGGTTGTAGCAACCCTCCTTGTGCGTACTGCAATGTACGCACAAGGCCAAAACGTGATCTCTTGGTCAGTCCGTTTAAGAATAGTGATTTATTTTTAGCAACGGCTTGAGTTAACTAATTTACTGTTAACAAGTCTGTAAAAATGCTAAGACAATCTCTGTTGGATTGTTCATTAATTCAAATTAAAATGTGCTGGTAGCTCTGCTCGTCTGACTCCCTCAGGATCAGACCGCTACCAAATCAGAATCTGCAAGACCACTGGAAGTCTGTATTGTAGCAAGTGAGAAGGATGTGTTATAGCACATGGATACTTGCTCTGTGATTATAAAGCTGATGGGACAGTGATCCCTCTCCTGTACATCCCGACTGATTCCAGTTACCTGTTTTGTATCAAAGAGGTTGGCTGCATTGACATTACTGGAGTGGATTCACTCCAGTAATAATACCTGGAATAATACCTCATTTTTATGCTTTTGTTGGAGATACACGCAGACATTTTAAACATACACACCTCTGTGAAACCACGTTTGTCACAGCTCGTGAGGGGACAACTGTCGGCAAGAGGGAAACAGACTTGTACACATTGTAGAGTAAAATCCTTCAGACTTTCTGGTTTGATAAAAAGAGACAGTCAAGGTATTGAAAAACTTTCTTCCTATATATATATAAGGATACTAATATTGTGTATACTGTAGATATACCTTATACTGTGTCAAAAAACTAAGTTTAACTTCTTACAACATAATTTAACTTTTCACCACATGATTGCAGGCACAGTTAAGAATCGTGAGGACACACAAAAAAGATGCAAAGCCATTTGAAGGACAGATTTTTATTGTCTACACATGAGCATTGAAACAATTTCAGTGTATTTTATATTAAAATATGTCCTTAGAAGGACCTTGGGATTGTGATTAACTTTTTACTTAATTTCCACTTGGTGCAGTGCCATTCATTTGCACACCGTCGGGCATATGTTAAAGTATTCTTCAAGTATCTTGCTCACTGTAATGCCTCAGCGCTTTAACCTTGTGGAGTTCGTTCTAGTATTCAGTCCAAATTGTTAGCTGGTTTTATGTAGTCAACCATATCAGTAACATGTAGAGGCATCTGTGATCTTTAGAGTTTGCTACTATTAAACACTTTCTTTGCATGTCTGGGGATTGTTTTGAAAAATTATGCTCTTTACAGTGGGACTAACTAGCGTGCTCATTTAGTCTAGTCTGGATATTCTGAAAAAATGCTCCACCGGGTTGGTTTTACGTTGAAAGGCAGAGATCCAAGTGTACAGTAAGTGAAATATTAGTTTGATCTGTAAATTCAGATGCTGCAATCTGACTCATTTGGATGACTCGGTTAACTGTTTGAAATAGCCTCTGTTGAGCCTCTGACTAGTGCCCTTGTCCCATATGCTCCTAAGATAGCATTTTGGGCTGTTGTGATTCTTGCCCGGAATAAGTGGCTTTCTGATAAAGGGCAAATGATTTCCTACAGACGTCTAAACACACTGCAGTGTGCCTTGCTTTTCTAACCTGAAAGACGCATAAATAGAGCTACAAACTGAGGGAGACCTCAAAGCCTACGGTTGTTGAGAATAAAGTGAGAGAATGACAGCTCAGGATATTTTGAGTGGTAGATGTACTCTATTGACATGCCTTTTCAGCCTTTGTATGTGGAGTTTCTGGTATCTAAGTAGTGTTTCAGTCCCTTCTGTTACATGAAAAGTGTTTGAACCTCTTAATGAATTCCCCGCAGTATTTTCCATAAACCTCCTTTTGATTGCACAGAACTAGTACGTTTACATCCTGCAGGTGCTAATAAACCTCAACGTCTCTTGGTTAATAAGAGTAGTTTTCAATTTCACATTTTTAAAGATGTGGCATCAAAATGCTGGTGATTTTCTTTGACACCTTTGTATACAGGGGAGCATGGTGTATAGGCAGATAGCTCAAGGGTCCTTGATTCACTTCTGGCCTGGAGCACCTTCTGTGTGGATTTTGCATGTTCTCACCATGTTCATGTGGGTTTTCTCCAAGCCTTCCTCCTCCAGCTTCTGAAGACAAACTGGAGGGATTAATTGGGGTTTCTTAATTGTCTTTGTATGTCGGCATATGTGTGTCCTGCTTGCAGTGATCTGGCGTCCCATCCATGGGTGTAGCCTCATCTTCTGCCATACAGTATAGTTCCAGGAATTGGAGGCCCTGTGATTTCTTCATGCGACAAAATATGTACAGGTTGAAATGCATTTTAGATCCCACAACCTCACTTTTATAAAATTAACCAAAATGACCTGTGTGGTCCAGACTGCAGCCAGCAGAACCTGTTCTGAAAGCTGGTACTGGGAACAGAACAGCAGTGACTAGACTGCTCGTGAAGGCTGTGTACTGTATATGGTGCAGTTGTATTTGGAGCCTGGTGAGTAAGATTCTGCTGTTGAAAGAAAGGGCCAGGCTGTGAAATCTAGAAAGAGCATTGTGTCCGTCAGTCAAATCCTGTTTCCAGGGAGCTGCCTTTGAGGTTGAGCGAGACTCCATTAGTAGGTGATGGTCCGAATGCAGTATAGCCACCATAGCCACAATGTAGCCACTCCCCGCTGTGAGCACATTTATAGGAAGAACTATTCTGATTCTATCAGGGTTCAGGACGGGAAAGCAATTTGCCACAAATGGGATTTGAAAGTCTTCTAGCTCATCCACTTCAAAGGAGTGTTTTCTTCATTTTCCCTTTGTTCGGCAATAGCAGTTGTTCATTAAAACAGTTTGAGGACCTGAATAGCAATATAATCACGTGCTGTGCTCATGAGAGAGAAGCACCGCACTCCTATATAAAGAGAATCATGTATGAAATTATAGATGGAATATATACTGTATTCTTTTTTCTTTTTCTTTTTGCACTGTTCTCATTGAAACACTCACATTTGGCAGGTCTAGGCTTAAGTCCTTATGCATCTGCAGCTGTTAAAATGAAAAGCTAATATCTCGTAATAAAGTGCTATAAGGCCAGTCCACTTCCACGATTAATAGTAGTGCAATATATTTCTTATAAATACTGTATATGTCTAATTAAAAATGACCCTTTTTGAGAATATCTAATACCATCAGATCTTAGCTGGCAGCAATTCAGCACGGACTGCCTTGAAAAGTCCATTTCCAAAGACATCTGGAAAAGAGGAAGAGAATTTTGTCTTTCAGAGAAAGAAGGAGAGGGAAGAATTCAGAAGAAAAATTTGATCCATCAAACTATGTTGCACGCATTTTCTTGCGTTTAGGTCGCTTTGAAACCCTGAGTTGCCATGCATCTGATGCAAAGATCTCTCTAAACCTTGCAGAGTCCTCTCTTTGTAGTGTTTAATCCACTACCTTAGAAAGGCACAGGATTGAGCACCTTTCTATTATCAGTTTCCTCTCAATTGAATTTAATTTGAAGAAATATGTTACACTAAAGGGGGAGTGGGCAAATGTTGACCTTTTTGGAGCTCAGGGGTTTCAGATTCCTTAATTGCAGAATTGAACACATAATTTAATTGAGCAAATATTTGCCAGAGGTGGGGCATCCATTGTACTTGCAGGGGCAAGAGAAGATCGCCAAATTAAAAGAATTACCCTTTTTGTGAACATCTAATACTGTCAGGTTTTAGCTGGCAGCAAATTTACTACAGACAGCCTTGAGAAGTCCATGTCCAAAGACAGTTTGAAAGCGCGACAAAATTCGTCTTTCAGAGAGGGAAAAAGTCGGAAAAAATTAGGACCCTTCCAACTAAGTTGCCTAGTGAAAGGGCAGCAGCACTCTCTCGCTTAAAATCAAAGTATTTCCACGTTTGTGTTCTGTTTGCTTAGCTATGTCAAGTTCTATTTCACGTGAGGGTAAAATGTGGGCTGTGGAGATGAGATCTATCTGTAAATCTTTGACCCGAAAGGAGTCAAAAAAAGAAATGATAAAAAAGTACTAATTTTTAGAAACTGGGGAACTTGCAGAGATCG